AACGCACACAGACAGTGGAGAAGCAGCTGCGGGCGACGGTGGAGAACCGGTCCCGTTGATAGAGCGACAGTGACGGTGCAGAACCGGACCCTTGAATAAGGTAGGAACAGTCCAGTGGAGACTTATCTGTTGTGACCTGGGGACGCCCAGTGTCTGCCTGTTGTGACCTGGGGACGCCCAGAGTCTCCCTTGGTATGGGGCAAGGACAGAGTACAGCCGGCAGGGTACAGTGTACACCTTTAGAATGCATTCTGGTGAACTGGAAAGTGTTTAAATCTAATCAGTTAATTAAAAGTAAATTGAAAAGATTCTGTACAAGTGATTGGCCTCAGTACCAGCTAAAGTGCCAAGAAAAGTGGCCACCGGAAGGATCACTTAATTACAACACGATCCTTCAATTGCTTTTGTTCTGTCAGAAAACAAGTAAATAAAATAAACATCTCTATGCGTATACGTTTATAGTGTTAAGAAATAGGACTGATATTTTGCTCAAGTGCCATTTGACTCCAACAGGCTCAGTAGTGACAGTTGCTAAACCCCAGAACCCTCCCACTGTTGTAATGCCAGAATCGGTGTCCCCTTTGGCTCCTCCACCCCCACAGGCTTCAGAGAGTAACCCCCCCCCCCCGTAGGATTGTATCCGTTGATTACTGAGAGTGTGGTAGCCCGTCCCGGAACACAAGAACGGCCAGCACAGATAGTATCTGTCTACTCGCATGTACCTTTTAACCCTGTACATCTGGCTGCTTTTAAGGCAGAGGCAAGAGAATTCTCAACGAATCCAAGCATACAGATGCAGAATTACAGGATACTGCCTAACAGGCTTACAATCTACATTTAGAAATAGCATAAGTAATGACATTGGAGGAGGTTTGGGGGAAGGAAGAACAAGGATTACAGAATGATAATCCTTTGTTTTCTTTTGCATGCATCTTGATATTTCCACATATATTTTAACAAATTAATATTGTTTAGAGCAAAATTAAAGTTTTTTTTCTCTCTCCTTATTGTCAAGAGAGTTGGAGAGGAGGTTAATAGTGGATGGAGAGGGCAGAGCTGGGGGTGGAAGAAGATTGTTGTGTCGGGTGCATGAGAACGGTAGAGGGGATCAGACTGTAGTGGGAGGAAGAGAGAGAAGAGTAGCGGAGTGGAATGTGGGGACAAAAGAAGGCATGACAAAGGAGGCAGAGGTTGGTGAGATTAGGTAATATGGTCAGTAAGTGAACAATCAACAAGGCAAGTTAAAGGTTAGTGATCAGTATATTAATGGGAAGGAACTGATAGTATGGCAATTGATGGTTACACTCAGTAAGGTAAAAACTGAATAAGCCTAGCAGAAACAGTCAGCTGTCAGCCATGGATGTAACTACATGTTTTGGTCTCGTCTGTACTGTGAAGGTGGGGGAGAGTCTGGTTCTTTATTGGCCTGATTTTCAAAATAGCTCCTCAAAACTCCCATTGATTTCAATAGAATCTGCTAGCTGCTGGGCACTTTAGAAAGTCTGGTCACAGCTGTTTAGTGGTATATTAACAGTTTGCAGGCCAGAATTTTTCCCTGAGATATTGGGTATCTGTGACTCCTAGCTGAAGATTAGGATGGGGATGATGGAGAGACTAAGGAGTAAAGATAAGGTTTCTACTGGGATCTTAACCCCCTGACTTTATTTTAAACTAAAAATGAGATAAAATAGATATCTATTGACAACTTTAACTCTCAACTAAGCGTGTGTGTTTTTCCTTTTGTTTTTTTAAAACAGAACACCAACATTTCTGAAGTAATTTTTTTTTCTTCCTAGCACTACTTTAAAGTATTTTAGAGAAGGAGGAAAGAAAGCATTATTATTATGATAATAATTTGCAAGTATCTTTTATCCAAAGTTTTCAAAACACTAAACAAATGTGGGTAAGTGACTTGCTGAAAGTCAAACAGTGAATAGTTTGGAAGAGAATCCAGGTTTCCTGACTCTAATTTCTTTCTCTAACCAGTTCTTACACATAGCCCCTGTATACAATAGAGCAAAAATGTGCAATTGGTGGAAACTCTTCTGTAGATAGCCCTGTTTGAGAGTTTGTCTAGTGAGAGAGACCAAGTTACCCATTTCAGGCATAGAAATGCCTTTTCAAATCATAGTGTACAAATAGTACAATCAGTTTCAAGGATATCTCAGGTATTGTATGGATACGGATCTTAAACATCTATCCAAGAGGTCAGTTTCTCCCAGGCTGCTCAAGAGAACCATCAAAATAATCAGGCAATGGGCCCAAAGTCTCTAGTTGTATGTCAGATCTCCCCTTTTCCCGAGGATGAACACCACAATGGTAGAACAGGATATTCTTCCTGTTTCCTTCCTGACAGAAAAAGAACAGATACCAGATATCTTCTCCCATCTGAGTGTTTACAGACAGTTCCTCAGTTTTAGAGATCTGTAGAATGTGCTTCACCATAAATACCAAACCACTCAATAGGATATTGGAATATAGAACTTTTGATACTCTCTCCCTCATCACTAGCACTATAACTACCGATGCCTCAACATTTTACAGAATCACAGCTACCTATTTATTCTTCCAAAACATGTGGTGATCCCTCCAATGAGGTAATCCTCAAAGAAAATTCTTCACATTTACAAAGTTATTGTTCTCACTGAGCTAATTCCATAGCCTTCAGAGATGTGTAGGGATTAAATGAAGTATCCATCCTACTCTAATCCTTGTCTGCCAGGTAGGACTTTAGGCCAATGGATTCAAAATCTTCCCTTAATGCAGGAGTGGCCAACCTGAGGCGGAGAAGAAGCCAGAATTTACCAATCTACATTGTCAAAGAGCCACAGTAATATGTCAGCAGCCCCTCATCAGCTCGCCCCCCCACACATACACACGCTCCCAGTGCCTCCCACCCCCCGGCAGTCCCGCAGATCAGCGTCTCCCCCTCCCTCCCCACACCTCCCAATCAGCTGTTTTGTGGCGTGCAGAAGGCTTGGGGGGGGGTGAGAGCGAGGGAATAGCAGGCGTCGGGGGGGGGGGGGGGCGGAAGGGGTGAAGTGGGGGCAGGGCCTGTGGCAGAGCCAGGGGCGCCTGTAGTTTCAGCCCCAGAGTCTGTATCTATACAAGGAGCTGCATATTAACTTCTGAAGAGCCGCATGTGGCTCCAGAGCCACAGGTTGGCCACCCCGCCTTCATGTATTCTTCTAGCTCATTAAGTCAAGAATGTAGACAGTTTTTAAAAATAGCATAGAATTAATACAGGAATTCAATTTCCAGAAGGTTTAGCTGTCTATGATGAAAAAAATCTTAGCTAACAAATTCAAAATGATAAAATCCTTTGCTAAATTTATACAGATCTCTTCTCTGAAATGCTTGCTGGTTGGCCTCCTTGGGGTTGTCTCCAGAAACTTTAGAAAACACTAACCAGCATCTCATTGACAGAGAAAATAGATTTTGAGGGAGGACAAAATGGAATCAATGGTTTATTAAGCAAAACAGATGTCAGCAGATCAGATTTGTGTGTGCGTGTGTTTGCTTTATCTTCTTGATCAAAGGAGAATACCATCTGCCATACACCCTTTCACCTCAGAAAACATCCACCTCCAGAATGATTTACTTAATCATCTTGGAACAAACAAGTATTATGAACTGACTCCAGAAAAGGCACAGAAGGGGGAAGTGTATTGTCTGACTACTAGATTCCAAACAGAATAGCTTCTTCCATGAACTTCCATCATTTTCTGGGGTTAAATCCATAGAGATTCTCATAGACTATTTCAAGTACCAGTGTTTATTCCAGGAATTTCAAGAATCATCATCTATGGGAGCAAGAGACACACTGATGCAGCACAGAAATAAACAGGGCTTTAGCATACCTATTCCACTAGTAGTTGGTGTCCTAATAGTGAAAACAAGCTCCAATAGTGAGAACAGAAGTCTACATCTTCTCCATGTACAACATGGTTTTCAGAATGCAGACACTCAGAACTTGGCATCACAGCGAGATACCAGTGAACTACACATCACTGAATACCAGTGGAAATTATTCATGTAATTATCACATGATGAATACTGATTTTTTTTGTACACTAACCTGCATGCAGCCTCTGTTCCCTCCCCCATCTCTGCCTTTGGCTCAGAATATGGCCTCTTTACTGTATAGTGCCAGCAGCTGACACAGGGATGCATGACTGTTTGGCAGGCAGCTGACAGCAGTCATAATGGCAAGGTATAGAAAACCAGCTTCTTGCGGCCCAGAGACCCACAGAGAAATCTTTATTCATTTTTTTCAGCATGTAATTGATTTGGGGATGAACGAAAACTCCAGGCTATGAATCTTGTGTGCATTGATCGTGATTTAAGTTGCTAGAGAACACATAGTAAGGGGTTCATTCTCTCCTCGATGTGCTGTACACATGCTGGCTTTATTTTGAGCACCTGCTGGCTTCTCTCTTTCTTTCCAGGAGGGCCAGCCTATTTACATGGCCGTGAAGGGAGTAGTATTTGATGTCACTTCTGGAAAAGGTGAGTTGGCTTTTCCCCCTTCACATTATCCCATTTTTCTTCTTAAACATCCTAAACCTTTAGGAAACTTCAAACTCTATTTAAATACAAAGAACATACTCATTTGTTCTTAATTCCTAATCATCCTCCTCTGAAGCTGCCTTCTCCCACTCTCAGCTTCACACCTCCTTTCATGCTGACCTCTGTGTCTGGAACAGAACAGATCCTCTTCTTATCCTATCATTTTCTAAGAAATGCCATAATACCTTTTGACTTGATTGAGACACCTTCCATTATATAGATTTACATACGTTTTCCTCTAACATTGGTTTTAGCTACTCTTTAAATTTAAAATAAAAAAAAGTGCACTTAGGACTGGTGAAAGCTACCAAACTGAGAGCCCTAGAGAGAGAAATTCGCCATCAGTAGAACAGACACAACCTGGGCAGCAGCTGTATTACAATCTTAATAAAGACAGGCAGTTGTCATTTTAGGCCACATTAACTAGTCCAGGTAAGCTAGTTTGTCTTGAGACGTCACCAAAATTTTAGGAGGAAAAGGGCACAAATCCGAGTCCTGGCTCATTTAGGAGTATAATGGGCTCCTTTCATGCTGGTATAAGCAGATGCTTAATCTGGCCCATTGTTTTCATTGTCAATAGTCTGAACATTACTAGATTTCCTCTCCTTGAACAGAATTTTATGGGAAAGGTGCCCCATACAACGCCCTCGTTGGGAAGGACTCAACACGAGGCGTTGCAAAGATGTCACTTGACCCAGAAGACCTCACTCATGACACAGTAAGAAATGGGATTGTTTGTTTAATTTCTTCTTTGCAAAATTTCAATCTTTTTCTTGGCTTCCCTAAAATATATTCCCCTGCTGTATATTTATTCAAAGCCCAATCCTATAAATAAGGAAAATACTTATTTTCTAAGAAATGCCGTAATACTTTTTGATCTGATCGAGACACCTTCCATTATATAGATTTGCATACGTTTTCCTCTAACATTGGTTTTAGCTACTCTTTAAATTTAAAATAAAAAAAGTGCACTTAGGACTGGTAAAAGCTACCAAACTGAGAGCCCTAGAGAGAGAAATTCGCCATCAGTAGAACAGACACAACTTGGGCAGCAGCTGCCCCATCAACATACTTTAACAGCTGTCTAGAGGGACAGCATCTAAAAATGTGTAGTTCAGTTTCCTTGACCAATTCAGTCCTTGGTGTCTCTGCTGAGAATACTAAATGGGCCAACTATGATGGTGCTTTTTGGAAATGAATTGAAGCCAACAACTCACTTTATCTGAGGATGTCAGGCTTTATCACTACTGAGCTGAATTTGAGTAAGTGACCTAGGGGTGAAAGGTTCTATGATAAATAACTCATTGCCAATTACTTAAACCCTCCATTGTTTCTATGCCCTGCAAATTAAATCTGAAGGCTGGCGTCGAGGCTAGGATGATCAACATAAATAAAGACATATGTAAATACCTGCCATTTTTTCTTGCCCATATTTCCTTTAGACAGGACTCACGGAAGAAGAGCTAAAATCCCTGGATGATATCTTCAATGATGTTTACAAAGCCAAATATCCTATTGTTGGCTACACTTCTCGAAGAATTCTGAATGAGGATGGCAGCCCCAATCAGAACTTTAAACCTGAGGATCAGCCACATTTCAGCATTAGAGATGAATTTTGATGAAGGATTTAGCATCCTGAAAATCCTCAGATGGACATTGTAGAACACTGTATGACTGGGAAACATTGACTGTTTCTAAGGCAGAAGAACATTTTCTATGAATTATGTATCTTTTGTATTTTTGTTATCCGTCCTCCCGCCCAAAGAGAATAATAGCTGATTACTAGTGTAGTGAATTCCTTCAAGTAGTGACCCAAATAAAATTTAATCGGTGGCACATATTTGTGGATTGGAGGGAACTATTTCAATAAAATTCTCACTGCCAATATCTTGATTTCTCTTTTTTAATATAAAAAGAAAAATTGGATAACTAAAGACTCATTCCCTAAAGGGGAGAAAGTGTCCTTTAATAGCTGAATCATGAGATTAGGGGTTTTGCCATTTCTGGGTTCTGTTCCCTGTTCTGCTGCAAACTTGCTGTATTACGTGAGTCACCTTACTTCACTTCTCCATGCCTCAGTTTCTCCATCAGTAAAATAGGTGTAATAAGGCTTTTTATCTCAGAGGAGTGGTTTGGGGCTTAATATTCATCCTCTTTGATTACAGTGGATATATAAATGCTGACTTCCTGAAATGTACTTAAATGCTGTATATTTATGCAAAGCCCAGTGTTATAAAACAAAGAAGATTTTTCTTCTGGGAAATGTAATATTTAATTACCTTTTGATTCAATATAGGCTACAATCAATAGCTCACAGCAGCGCCGCTGCAAGATCTCTAGTGGAGCTGCTCTACACTGACAGGAAAGAGGTCTCCCATCGCCTTAAATAATCCACCCCCAACAAGCGGCGGCGGCAGCTATGTTGGCAGGAGAAGCTCAGGGCGGTGGCTTATTCACACCCCTGAGTGGCATAAGTTATACTGACATAAGTGGTAGTGTAGACATGGCCTAAATCACTCTTATTGCAGTAGTTTTGTCAAAATAGCACTTTTTTGTAATACATTTACATGGGTTTGTCATTTAAAATTTAGGTCATGATGGTTCCTTAGTATCCTCAACTCCTAATTCCCACAAACCAAGAGAAATTATAACCTAGGATCTATGGTTATCATAAAGTCTTTGTTCACATATTGTAAAATATAAGTTTACTGTGATTATTTCAGTTTGACCAGAATATTCCCAGCTTCTTTATGTTGTCAATTAAACTCTGGTTGACTCTACACATAGGCGCAGGAACTAAGGGTGCTGCCACAGCCTCTGGTTTGAAGTAGTTATCATATGCAGGCTTTACAGTTTGGTTCAAGGGCTCTCAGCACCCCCATACACAAATTGTTCTAGCACCCTTGTCTACCGGTGCTTTTTCCATTTTTAATCTGTATCAGGTTCTCTGCACTATTACTTTTTCTAGCTTGATCATTGCCACTCTAGTTCCCTTGAAAGGTGTGTGTGTGCTCTTTTTCTGTTTAACCTAATTTACAACTCCAGGTCCTGCTGGGGGAAAAACAAGTCCTCTCCTCTGTCAGATTTCTCTTGGCAGTCTTTCAGGCTGCTTTTAATTTACATAGCAACCGGAGAACATTAAATGCTTGTGCTATACCAAGTGCTGCTAACTACTGACTTCCACTAACTGAAGTCAAATGCTAACTGTCATGTATGCAGATTTACCTGCCACCATGACAGTTTGAATTAGCATTGAGAAACTGAGCAGCTGCTTCCAATTTCTGAAAGATAATTTGCTTCATTATGTTAACCTCCTGGCTGCTTTCTTTCAAAGAGTAAATGATTAAATCATTTATTCTCCCTCTCCTGGGATCTGTACGCTGCATAGCATATTGTGGGAGAAGGACAATTGTCTGATAAAAGAAAAAACTTTTAATTATCCCTTTCATAACGTCATTGATATTTACTCTAAATGTGCTTTGTGCCTTAAGCCCCTTTTTTCCCTTATAGCCATTCAGCAGTATAGTGTAAGAGGTTAAAGCAAGGGATTCCTGGTGTTTACACACTGCCACCAAGTTTCTGTGTACCTGAGGTTACCTGTGCCACTTAACTGCATCACAAAAGTTCTAATTAATAAATGTTTGTATTTAAAGCTACAGTAGGTTGTTAATAAAGTTTTTGCAGGAAAGTAAACCATTTTTTAGATCCATTACTCCACAAACATTTTTCAGTGAAAAAAATGAAACCTGAAAATTTTTGGTTTGTGAACAGTATGGAAACTAATTTAATAAAAAACTCGAGGTTTTGAAAACAGAAAACTTTTGCTGAAAATAGAATATTCTGGCTTTTGGTTTCTCCCTCTTTTTGAATTTTTTTAAAAAACCAAACAAAAACCCCCCAGAAAATGTTGACCAAAATAAAAATGGTTTTGTTTTCGTTGAAAAGCAGTTTTTCATAAAAAAATAAATAAATCCCCAAACCTACAAACTACACACAACACATCACACCCCGAACACAAATTTCAACCAGCTCTAAAACTAAGCTTCATCAGGATGGTGGGTGCTGTACAAACAAACTGTAAATAGCTTGCAGTCTAACTCAGGGGTGGTCAAACTACGGTCCGCAGGATTGCCAGTCCCATGGCATAGCAGGGTTAAGGCAGGCTCCCTGGCCCCGTGCCGCTCCCGGAAGCGGCCAGACCACGTCCCTGCAGCCCCTGGGGGCAGAGGGTTCTGCGTGCTGCCCTTGCCTGCAGGCACTGCCCCCCCCGACCCCCCGCAGCTCCCATTGGCTGGGAATGGGGAACCGCAGCCATTGGGAGCTTCAGGGGAGGTACCCGCAGGTGAGGGCAGCGTGCGGAGCCCTCTGTCCCCCCCGGGTCTGCAGGGATGTGGTGCCAGCTGCCACGCGAGGCCAGGGCAGGCAGGGAGCCTGCCTTAGCCCCACTGCCACCCCAGAGCCGCTCAAGAAGCCCATACCCCAAACCCCTCCTGCACTCCACACCCTGCCCTGAGCCCCCTCCTGCACCCACCCCCCTGCCGAGTCTCCTCCCGCACTCCACACCCCCTCCTGCATCCCAACCCCCTGCCCTGAGCCCCAACCCCCTGTCCTGAGCTCCCTGCTGTACCTCTCCTGCACCCTAACCCCCTGCCCTAAGCCCCCTCCTGCACCCCGCACCCCTCCTATACCCCAACCCCCTGCCCTGAGCCCCTTCCTTCACCCTGCACCCCTCCCTGCACCCCACACTCCCTCCCGCACCCCAACCCCCTACCCCAGCCCTACATTCATGGCCCTGCATACAATTTCCCCACCCAGATGTGGCCCTCAGGCCAAAAAGTTTGCCCACCCCTGGTCTAACTCATTCATGATACTGTACAAAGACTGTCTGGTGGCACCTTAAAGACTAACAGATTTATTTGGGCATAAGCTTTCGTGAGTAAAAACCTCACTTCTTCGGATGCATAGAGTGAAAGT